CACGCACACACACACACTCACACACACACACACACACACACACACACACACACACACACACACACACACCCACACCCACACACGTACTTGAGAGAACGCGGTACGTCTCGTGGAATTCCCCTGCCTTCCCGTGGCTTTCCTGCTTCCCGTGGCTTCCCTGCATCCCGTGGCTTCCCTGCATCCCGTGCGGGCGGATGTGGTCGCCGTGGGGTTGCGGGTGCTTGCGGTGTTCCTCCGCCTCTCTCTTCCGCGTATGCTCTAGCTTGATGAGCTGAGCAACGACGGCCTGTACTATCGGCAACATCATCGCCGTCGCCGCTGTGTTGCTGATCCACATCGACAGGAAGAATGTTGTGCACATCACTCCCAGCATGAGCCTGCAAGGTATCGTCAACGTTAAGCGTCATCGCCACAGTCACGCGGCCACTAATATCGCGTACAGACTGTAATAATCATAATCATCATCGTCAGCATAGCCATCATCATCACCAACAGCAACCACAGCGATGGCAGTAGCAGCAGCGTGGTCGTCGTCATCATTATCATCATCATCATTATCATCGTCATCATCATCATCATCATCATCATTATCATCGTCATCATCATCCTCATCATCATCATCATCATCATCATCATCATCATCATCATCATCATCATCATCATCATTATTATAATCATTGTCGGGATCGGTAGAGGGGTGTACCATCTCGGCTTGGTTCCGACTAGCAGCAGCACTCTCATCGCGATGCGCTTGTGCAGGTTGACTCTCTCCACGGCCACAGCAACGATCAGCCCACCCACAAACAGCAGATTCAAGTCCTGTAGCATACAGACATGACATAGAGACATGGCGTGAACAGATAAATAGATATATATAAAGATATGGTAGACGCAGAGACATAGATACATAGAGATATTATGGTAGACACAGAGACGTAGAGGCACAAAAAGATAAAGACAGAGACATAGTAGGCTAGCAATCTATCTCTCTCTCTCTCTCTCTCTCTCTCTCTCTCTCTCTCTCTTCTCTCTCTCTGTATTTTTTTCTCTCTCGCTAGCTCTATCTCTCTCTTCCCTTTTCTACGTCTCTCTGTCTCTCCCCTCTCTCTCGCTCATTTTTTCTCCATATTTCTGTCTCCCTCCCCTTCTTTCCTTTCTCGCTCTTTCTCTCTCTCTCTCTCTCTCTCCCCCCCTCTTACTACATCTACCCGGCAATTGACAACATGAGAGGTTGACTCAGGTCAGGTTTTACGTCGTTTCCTTTAAAAAAAGCAGATTCGCATACCACGGCGCTGATTGCTATGCAGTACGAGCGGACACATATTTATGCTATTCCGGATACGGCGTATGCTAATGGCGGATTATTCATACCACTGGCAATTCACTCGACAATAGAATCACGAGCTTCCGCTGGCTTTGACTGAATGACCGAGTTTATATATTAGGAATTACAGCGTGAGGAGAGTACGCTATCCGCACGAGTGGTCATTACTTTGCGTCATTATGTTACAATAGCACGACTTGTCCCGCGTGACAGCGCAAACACTGGCTGACCATTTTTACGTACTCTGCATCGGTAACGTAGCTGTTGTCGGCGTTGTTAGTGACGATGGCTACGGCGTCAGGTTCCGTGTGCTCGAACGCTGGGTTATCAACTGTGCAAGAACAACATGTTCTGTTTCAATCTATGACAAATACTACATACGCATATGCGCTCTCCTATGACACTATTTGTCATAGGAAGATTTTTTCTATGATAAATATTGGCGAGTCAACTTCGTTCCGCTTTACAGTTGAAATTCAGTGCTTGCGTTCATAATAGCGCTCCTAAACTCCTTTGATGCGCACAATACATACAACAATATTTGTCATGGGAAGAATATTTCTATAACAAATAGTGTCATAGGAGAGCGTAATGCGTATGTCGTATTTGTCATAGATGCTAGCAGAACAGGCTGGCAAGAGACAATAGTTGTTAGCGTCACAACAATGACAACAATCTTACTAGGTAAACTGTGTCCGGCTAGATTCAAAGGCCCGATGTCAGAAGCAAGACTAGCCTTAAAGCCTATAAACGTTATTTCATATGCGTATTTTTATTGTTTTTTTCAGGGGCTTTAACATCAGTCTTAACATTAACTTTCTCTCTTTGTTGTCTTTTTTGTCTTTGTTGTTCAGACCGTTGTCAGAAACAAAATTTGTCTTAACATTAACCTTAACGTTAACTCTTTTTATATATAGATAGATATATAGATATAATAGATCGCTCACAGAAACGTGGTAAAGCTACAAGTTTCTCATACGCAGTGTATTGAGGTCTGCTAGTCTATGAGAAAATGCTCATGTTAAGACTAATTTTATTTCTGACAACGGGCTCCTGGGTGTTAGTTGCGGATCAGATGAGCAGATGACGGCTGCATGCATTGTAATAATGATGGTGAAATATATATATATATATAAATATATATATATATATATATGTATATATATATATGATCGTACGTTGTATCTTAACCAATGAAAATCTATTAAGATTAGCCGATAAAGGCGCCGATGACCGTACTTAGGGCGTTTTTAATGGGAAGATATCGGGTTCAAAATCCAATGGCCGAAAAAAAAATTGCTGATTTTTTTATTTGATCATGTAATTCCTTATTTCTATTACTTATAATTGTGATGTCATTATTCTAATGATGATTTTAAGCCTAATTATACGATATCATATAACATTATATTATATCCTTAATTATAATTATCGATATGTTTATCTGAGGCCTGATAAAGTGCGGGCCACTGTATGTGTTTTAGCCAGCAATGATGCGGTTAAGTAAATCTGCAGGTAGCCTGGTGGGTTGTTGATATGGCTTATATATATATATATATATATATATATACGACATAGCTTGTCGTGGTCGTGAAGCGGATATCGTCATCAGCATATATGTGGTCAATGGTAATTGTATCGTTGAGTTTGTGCGTATAATTGCTACAATCTTGTGCTGCTTGGTATTGTCGCACGCACGGCGACCAGAACGAATGACCAGCGAACCAGCGGTCATCACGTTACGGTGGACGGAGACAGGGAAGATGACCGGACACAGGTGGACAGCGGGCGGGGCGGCGGCGGCGGCGGCGGAGGAGGGGGAGGATGGGG